AAAAAATATTCGATTGTAATTAAAGGAAACAATGGTGCTAATTATATATTAGATACATTACATAGGATACAAAGTCCACTATTATATTTCTGTTCACACTCAAGTTTAGTGAACAATGTTGCTTTTTTTACTAACAAAATTTAGCCCCCACTTGATTTCGACTAAAATTAAATTAAAATTTCAAATTAAAGTCAATAATTAGTTCTATATGAGATCCACAACTTTTTAACATTTCATCAATTTTTTATTAAAATTTACAAAAATAAAATAAAAAATGGCACCTGTCAAGTGGGAATGATGTTTGTTTCAACACAGTAGTTTCCATGGAAGACCAAGTCCATGTTTGTTTTTGATAAAAATAAGATTTCTAGTATATTTTGATAAAAGTTGATGGAATGTAAGGTGATAAAGTTTATAGAATTTGTGGACCTTATAAAATATGTGGTTGAAATGAGTTTAAGCAAAAATAAATTTTAAGAAACGTGGTTCAAACAAGAGCCAAGTGTTACTGAGACATGCAATGTTGTAAGAAAGTTTCTTGAAGTTGTATATGTCAATCAAAATATTCACGAGTTGTTGGGGGAATCGAAGAAGAAATTTTGGCTTCCTAATCTTATTTTATTTATACTTTTGAGATTAGGAATTAGTTTTCAACAAAATAATGGTGAAAAACTAATGTTTATGGAAAACTAATGGATTTATTAGTTGATTTATTGTCCCCGTTTGGTGGGGGGTTAAAATCATATTTTTAATAGATTTTGAAAAATAATTGATGAAATGTATGGTTAAAAAGTTTTGGATCCCATAAAATATGAGGTTACAATTAATTCTTGACTTTTAACTTAAATTAAAATTTAGATTTTAATCCCTACGAACCAGATTCTTGACTTTTAACTTAAATTAAAATTTAGATTTTAATCCCTACTAACTAGGGGCATTGCATGTTTAATGAATATGATTGAATAAAAGAAGTTCAAATTTTGTTTGTTGTATTGTACTATTGATATGAATGTAAAATACACATTTTACTTATTTATTTAATGCGCTCATATGACTATTTTATGCCTAAATGTACTTAGTATTCTCATATTTTGTTTTAGGTACATTTTACATCTTTATTTAATACGCCCATATGATTACTTCATCCCTAAATGTATTTAGTAATCTCATATTTTGGTTTAGGTGACAATTCGATGGGTATGACGTAATTTTGAAGAAATAAGTGAAAAATGACCAAAATGGAGGAAAGTGAAAGTTCAGGGACTAAAGTGTAAATATCATAAACTCATTTCCAACCTTGTGATGAAGATTCGAGAGTGTTAGAGGTCAATTGGATGAAGAAAGAAGTCAAACGAATGAAATATAGCCAAGACATTCTCACATATCAACTTTCAAGCTGAAAAGTTTTGCATTGGTTTTCAGTCTCATATTGAGACTAATTTTGGACATGGAAAACGATCTAATTCGAAGATAATTTCTGAATCAAAGTTGTATCCCTTTGAGTTATCTTTCTAACGCATCTTGAATCCTCTCAATCGGATATCAATAGAGAAAGTTATAGTCAAAATACTGAACACTGTCCAGAGGAAGTTTCGTAAAGCCTTGCGATCGCATTGCTTTAATTCCTTGCGATCGCACAGACCATCACGAGAATCTGAGGGTTGAATTCATTTGTTCCTTACGATAGCATGACTTAATACCTTGCGATCGCATGGTTGTTCCCTGATGCCGAATCTCAAATTTCCTAAATTGACTCAAACTCCTTTGGTAATACATCTTACACGACTTTTCAACCCTAAAAACACCCTAAAACACATCAGAACGGCTCCCAACTCTCTTCTTCTCTATTTTTCTCTTAGATTCATGAATTGTAACTAAACTTTTACACTTAGTTGAAGGAAACGGAAGCCTCGGAACCACATATTGTGAGATCTAAATAGTTTTTCTTATTGTTTGATTTATATTTTGCGTATTGAATGTTCTTCTGCATTTATTTCTATGGTTTGTTGCGTTTAATTGCTAGAGGGCCCNATAATTAGGGTTAATTAGAACGCTGGTTTCCAATTAACTAAAATTAAGGAGAAATAGGAATCAATTCCAACGGTTAATATTCGAAATATGAATTGAATTATCCTTGCATTTATGATCAATTGTGGATTTCCGACGGTGGATGTGGACTTAGACCAAGGTTAGTCTTTTGATTGTTTTCGTTAATTTAATTTTCATTGTTATTGATTGCGTTATTTACAATGGTTTGCATATAAAACCCCTCAATCATTGTACGAAATATAAAATATTAAATTACACACTCTTCGTGAGATCGACCATTACTTCCATTACTACATTAGTTTTAGAGGTTTAAGAACTATTTTTGGGTATTTACGACATCACTCCAACTATATAAATGCTATTAATGCATTATTAAATGTAACTTATCCACACCACTATTTTTTTTATACAAAAAGAGAATGTATTTATTAATAGTTAAATTAAATAAATACAAAAATATGAAATAGAACTTGCTAATATGTAATGATTCATTCTCTTATATTTTAATCTCATTTTTTATTAATTATAAATATTTAATTATTTGAATAGAAAATATTTTACAACATCATAAAAAATCATGTGCAATGCATGTATTACATAATAGTGGGCTAAAATGGATGTTCAAGAGATTAAAAGCCAACTCTTTAATATTTAGGATCCGTGATATTGATTTTAGACAGGGCTGGCCTTGTGGCGAGGCAAATAAGGCCGGCTCCTCAGGCCCAAAACCGGAGGGGGCCTATTTTTGGCCCAATTTTTTTTTTTTATTATTAAAGGAGGAAAATGGGAAATCTGTTTTCATTACCTCATGCTCGACCTCGACTCCTCCAACTCTACTGGCGACTCCTCCAACTCCAATCGGACTGGCAACCAGGCAATCGATGACGTCCTCCAACTCCAACTGGTGGAAAGATTACAAAGAAGGTAAGATTTATTGAGAATATGTTTTTATACCTTTAAGGCCTGCCAGCCTGCTTTTGGAGTTTTGGGAACTGCCATAGTGGTTATGGTGTTCCTATGTTACTAGTTTTGGGAGTTCATGAAGGGTTCGGTTTTGAGTGCACATATGTTGGCATATTTTTTTTTCCTACAATTAGTATTTGCTCTCTGTCCTTTTCTTTTAAATTCACGAAATTGAGGTATGAATTATTGTAATTTACAGGATAACACTAAATTTATGATGGGTAATCTCTGGAAAGGTTTCTAAATATAGTTATAAACAAGAGAGATAATTTTGCTATACTATGAAGATGTTGCAGAGTTTTTAACTGAAAATAAATGTTTGATTTTCATATAATTTTCTCAATAGCTTGCTTGTGTAATTAGTATAGAATTTTATGAATAAAGTCTTTCCCATTGCAATTCAGAAGTCATGAAATTACAAGACCGGCTAATATTTTTAGAGATCAACTTCTGATTGTAAACTAGCCGAAGTTGTCAAGTATTTGGTAAATTTAAGTAAAACTAATTTTAGAAGAATCTATAAAATTTTGTAGCTAGTATTTTAGAAGTAAATTTTTTTTTTTCATATTCTACTTTTAATTTCTCCAATTATTTGTAATTGAAATATTAAATTTTAACCATATTTAATTAAGTTAATTCATTTTTTGTCCTAGATCTTTTGAGATTTAGCCCCTGTTTGGCCCTTACTTCTTTAAACTTATTTTTAAAAAAAAACTCATTTTCAATCATATTTCATAAGTCTCTTTTTAATCACATATTTCACCTTCTAAAAATCTAATATTTATCCAAACCAAACATAGACTTAATATATATTAGTTTTTTTTTTTCATTTTAAAAATAATTAAAGTGAATATCTTAAAAAAAATATTTGATAATATTACCTACTATTATAAAAGTAAAAAATAAATTATATAATAATACCAATATTATTAATATTAATACAAGCCAGTTTTAATAATTGTATATATGCAATGCAATGCAATACAATCAATTTTGTTTATCAAACTCAAATATTATGATTTTGAAATATACAATATTTTGAAACGAAAGCACTTTATCGTTTCTTCTCGTAGTTGATTATTTTTCAGTACAACTAAAGCTGATTTATTAAGCCTCCGTGTGGCCATATTCCTACAAATTGTAATTTTTAGAATACTGTTTTTTTGGAGAATAGATGGTTAAAAAAGAAGAAGAAATTTTCGATTTACATTTAGTCTTGTGTTTGACACTCATTTTGGGGAAAAAAAAATGAATTCTGGAATAGCGATTGATGGAAGAATGTGTGGTTGAAAAGTAATGAAAAGTTTTAGATTTGTGTGTAATATTATTTTATTTGGAGAATGTATGGCTAAAATGAAGAAATTGAAAAAAAAAGAGAATGAGAATGAGTGTCAAACATGACTTTAATATTATTTTACAGAAAAATGTGTTGTTGAAAATAAGAAAGATAAGAAAAAAATTGACAAAAATGGGGGACAAACAGGTGCTGAAAGCACGAAATACTAAATTAAAAAGCATATTCAAAAAACATTTATAAATTACTTAATTTATAAATAAATGAAAATTAGCAATATATAAATGAACAATACGTATATATTTTTCAAAATGTGTCAATAAAAAGTGACTTGAAACCACATGGACAAAATAGAAATCTTTAAAAATTTAAGAAAGCTCAACATCTCAAAGCCGCGTGGACAAAATTGAAATATTTAAGATAGTTCAAGGACTGAAAGTGAAGATTAGCCCCCCATTTGGTCCATTAAAATTATAATTTATTTTTCTATCTCTTTTTATTAGTCACACATTTTTTATTAAAATAGTAGTACACGTAATCTTAAAAAAAAATTAACCGCAATTTCTTTTTTTAAAAAAAATATTATTTCAATCCTTAAAATTTCAAATAAGGAGACCAAAGGGGCTTAAACAAGTTGAGAAGTACGAGGTTATATATTTGAGACTACCGCCTAATTGAGCCAAAATCGAAACAGATGGGAACCCGAGAAGTGTACGAGGAGAAGCTGAGAAGGGGAAATCTCCACCATGATCCCACCATTAAACCGGGCCTCGGATCGGCTCGCTGCCCGCGCTGCCTCTCTCTCTTAAGCCCTAGTTTTGTATGTATATATTTATAAGATAATGCAAATTCTCCACTTTGCCTATTATCTGTTCGATCATATGCCTCCGTGAGCATTTGGACTACCTTATTTTTCTTTCCCCGTATTGAAAATATACATTCAACTGTTTGGAACAGGAAAACTCGGAATGGGAAGTCACTCCTGTTCTGCACGATGCCACTGCCGTGGTACGAGGATCTTTTTACTATTTTTGTTCACTTTTCTACTGCTACATTGGGCGTTAAATTAGTATATTCGTTTATGTTTTCTAGTTTTAATGAATGACTAGTTTTTTTAGAGAACTTTTGACTTTGAACCTTTGTTGGAGTCGTTTCTCATGTGGATAAGAGATAACACTGTAGAATGAAGTCTGAAATTGTATAAAGGAATCCCATCTTATTGAGTGGTATTGAGTCCATTAAATAGTACGGCAATGGCCTAATGTGTGTAATGGACACCCTCTCAACAGAATACTTAACCTGCGTCATCTAACAATTACAACTAAAAGAAAATAATTCCTAACAAAATTAAAAATGAAAATACATACGATGATAAATAACTTGGCTATCCATTATCTGCCTCAATAGCTTCTATATCAAACATTGTTGACCTCGTTTGCATGTACTGATATTTGTACTTTCTGTAAAACCTGTTGTTTAACTTTTTCTTTCGGAGTTCAGAATTGTAATCAACAATTTGTACATGGGTTATGGTCATTTACATGTTATTTTCACCTTACTGTCACTAATATTATTTGAATTGCTTAAATAGGTTGGCTCTGGACTTGGTGGGATGCTAAGTGCAGTGCATGCTTTCAACACAGGTATGGAAATTGATTCTTCCCCTCGCCTTCTCCATGCACGTTTCAATTATTGCCTCATTGTGTTTCATCATTCTTGGTGAAAAATCATTTCAGGGATCCCTTATGTCCAGAAACATGTGAAGGGGCCAAAGTGGCTTCCTTTTGTAATTGGGGTATGACTCCCGTTGTTTTCTTTAATTTTAATATCTACTAAATCTCATTTTTCCTACTTCCTCTTTTTCTATTTTCCTTGTATATATCATTTTCCCTTCTCTTCTCTGGCAGCTTCCTCCTCTGCTAATGTTATCCACTGCTAGTGCTGCTTTTGGAGGTATACCTGATATTGATATTTCGTGCATTATTTATATGAAAACATTAGAGAATTTTACGGTTATCACAAATCAAGGAATTAAATGCTGTCAATCATATATGTTTAATATGAGCATATAGTGACTACATTGAAAAAAAGAGCTGGGATAAACCTTATATGAAATTGCGTGACTAACTGGGAGGTTTCACTCTGGATCTAATAGTTCACTCTGACAAGTTTTTGCTCGATAATGTTCTCGTGTGTACTACCTTAGTTTATAAGGTATTACAAAGCTATACATGGAAAGTAATTAGGAATACAATCCCAGATTCTATGTAATGCGATTAGGCTATACAAGGAAAGTTATAAATTAAATTGTTGAAAATAAGCCTCTAATACCCCCCTCAAATTGATGTTGGTGAATCCACAAGCTAACAAGAAAATTATGATATAGGCGAGTCAAAGATTTGGTGAAGATATCCGCTATCAATTGAGAAGTGGAAACATGAGGTAGAGCGGTGGAATCATAGGCGTTTCGTATGTAATGACAATCCACTTCAATGTGTTTGGTGCGTTCATGATACATAGGATTAGCTGCAATTTGAATAGCACTCGTGTTGTTACCATGAAGAGGGGTATGCTGTGATTGGGAAATACCAAGTTCTGCTAGAAGACCACGCAGCCACACAATTTCAGAACATGCAGCTGACATAGCATAGTATTCGGCCTCAGTGGAGGACTTAGAAAAACAATCCTGTTTTTTATATTTCCAAGAAATGAGAGCATTACCCATAAAGATACACTGCCCAGTAGTAGATTGACGAGAATCAGGGCAACCTACATATAAGCGGTGAGTTCAAGAGACGTCCCCCTAGAGAAGAACATACCACGATCAGGAGTCTCAATAAGGTAGCGAATTATACGGCGGAAAACTAACAAATGTAGATGACGCGGAGTATTCATAAATTTACTGACGGTAAGAACTACGGAGGAAATATCTAGACGTGTTATAGTGAGATAGATGAGACTACCTACCAACTTCTGATATAGAGTAAGGTCCAGAACAATATCACCTTTGTCTTTTCGATATTTAACATTAAGCATCAAATATCAACTCGGGTAGCTTTATATAAATCAGTTAACCTAATCAAGTCTTGAATATATTTATGTTGATTCAAGAAAATGTCGTGCGGTGCTGTGTGAACTTCTAAGCCAAGGAAGTAAGTAAGATGACCAAGGTCTTTCATATGAAAAGTCGAGTGTAGATGCTGCTGAAGTTTCTGAATAAGGATGTGATCAGATCTAGAGATAATAATATCATCCACATATACCAACAGGAAAACGATGCCAGTAGTACTCTTATGAAAAAACATAAATGCATCATACTGCTCTGAATGAAGGAAAAATCCGAAAGAGTGCGGTGGAACTTGTCAAACCATGCTCGAGGAGCCTGCTTAAGATCATACAAGGAGTGTTTTAACTTACATATAGAGTCAGATGAGGGAAGAAGCATACCAGATTGAAGTTTCATATAAATTTCTTCCTTGAGATCTCCATGCAAGAGTTTGTTCTTTACATCCATTTGATATAAAGACCAAGACCGGGAAGCAGCAAGCGATGACAAGAGGTGAGCAGTTGTCATTTTAGCTACGGGAGCAAATATCTCATCATAGTCGATTCTATACTCCTTACAATTACCCAAGGCGACCAATCAAGCTTTATAGCGTTCAAGAGAACCATCAATCCATCATAACAAAGTTTGACTGAGTATACCCATTTACTTCCAAAAGGTTAACATCATGTAGACATGGAACAAGATCCCAAGTTTGGTTTGCCTCAAGGGCATCACGTTTTGCATTCATTACCTATTGCCAACACTCTTGTTCCATAGCCTATTTATATGATGAAGGAATGCAAATCGAGTTAAGAGTAGCAGACATGGAGCTGTGAGAGGAAAAACCATACCTATCTGGTGGTTGAGGAACGCGAGAAGTGCGACAAAAAGTGACAGGAGGCGAAAGATCATCTAGTGAAGGATATGATGTTGTAGGTGGAGGATCGGGAAGGCTTGTAGGGATCATCGTCTGAAAAGGAAACTTAAGAGTAGTGACCGGAGCTGCATGTCTACGAGTATAAAAAAGACTTGGCTTGTACCGAGAGGATTCTATAGGAAAATCATGCAAGGCAGAGAACACAGGATGATGAACAACAGTTTCTAAAGTGAAGAAAGATTGTTTTTTTTTTTAATTACGAGATATCTTGGGCCTGTTTGGGCCAGATTAAAATTTTATTTTAATCTAAGTCAAAGTCAAACAGTCCATATTAACCACATTTTTCATGGGTCCCACATCTTTTCAACCACATATTTCAAAAACTTTTATCACAATCCACTAAAAATCTAATTTTAATCCCCACCAAACACCCTCCTTAATTCGTTGTATCTTAGGATCATAACAGACATACCTTTTTTGAGTCTCGCCATATCCTAGAAAGGCACACTCGACAGATTGCGGTGTGGGTTTTGTCTTTTCATAAACCGTAAGTGACTGAAGCACACACCCAAAGGGTCGAAGATGAGAATATGTGGAATGGTAATCAAAGAGCTTGTAAAATAGAGAAACATTATTAAGAGTGGGAGGTGGCAATCGATTTATAAGATGTACAGCGGTAGACAAAGTTTCACACCAGAAACGAGAAGGAACAGAGGACTCAATTAGAAGAGCTCTAACAATGTCAAGAAGGTGACGATTCATGCGTTCTGTCATTCCATTTTGTTGAGGGGTAGAAGGGCAAGATCGTTAAGAAATAATACCTTTAGTTTGGAAGAAAGATTGAATGCATTAGACATATATTCACCTCCCGAATCAAATCTTAAGATTTTGATTGAGGAGGAAAATTGGATGTCATCGAGGGCAAGAAAAGCTTGAAAGGCTCACTCTTTGCACGGAGAAAATAAACCCATGTGAAGTGACTATAATCATCGATAAATGTGACAATATTTATAATGAGTATGAGATACCATAGGTGCAAGACCTATACATCACTATGAACAATATCAAAAATATGCAAAGCATGAGAACCATGAGATGGGAACTATAAAACCCTACTTTTAGCAAGTTTACATGAAGCACAATCAAGAGAAATGGATGAAACCGAAGCATAATTTTTATTACTAAGCAAAAACAAGAGTTTAACAAGTGTTGTAACATATTAGAATTGGGATGACCTAATTTCTTATGCCAATCAAAAATATCAAAAGTAGCAGAATTACAAACAATAGGAAAAGATGAAATAGGACATAGAGGTCTCTCCTTAGGCCCTTTCACAATCGTCCTCCCGAACACATGATCCTGCACATGACGACCAAAAGAAAAAAAGGACACAGTGCAATTGTTATCAATAAGTTGACCAATAGAAATAAGATTAGTTGATAAATTAGGAGATACCAAAATATTAGGTAAATATGGTGATATATCACCTACGACTAAGATAGGAAGAGTGTTACATCGGCAATGTGTATATTGAGATACCTAGTATATGGTCTAAGGTTACTAAGCAACAAAGGATCATGAGTCATATGATTAGAAGCACTTGAGTCTAATAGCCAAGAAGAAGATGCAGTTGATGGATTATTGAGACATTTAAGGCAGATAAAGCAAAAATTGACCATTTGTTAGATTATCTCTGGAGTTTTGGACATGACTAGAAGAGGTTGGAACTTGAGCAGGGGCAGGTGGCGGTGCAGAACTGGAGGCAAAATTGACCGCAACAACATAACTTATTCAGTCTTACGTGGAGGGCGAGTAGGACACCCCTTAATGACATGTCCAGCTTTCTTGCAATAATTGCAAACTTTTCTCGGACACTGATGAGCCATATGATCAAACCTATTACATCTGTAACATTGCACACTAGACATATCTTGAGGTTTGAATTTCTCTTGAGCTACGTATGCAATAGAAACCGGTGCTACTTGATTCTGCTGCTGTTCCAAAGAGGTACGAGTGATAAGACGTTGCTCCTTCCTCGGCAATTCACCTAAACACCCATCTAATGTTGAAATAGATTCTTGATTCATGAGACTGGACCCGATGGGTTCAAATCCAGCTCGCAATTTCATGAGAAATTGATCCATCTTAGTGACTTCATGCACAACTTGGACAGCCTTCAAACTATTAGGTGATACCGAAGCATAGATAATATCTGTGTAGTCAGTCTTGAGGTTAGAAAAACCAGAATAATATTCTTTAATAGAGCGAGAGTCCCGAGAGAAATTTGTCAATTCAAACTCCAATTGAAGCCTTCGAGCATTGCTGCTTTGAGTATACATTTTCTTCAAGTAGTCCTATATAGCACGGGCTTACTAAAGTCTGAGATTAAGAACAATATGTGCATCGACTGCTCCAATGATCCAGCCATAATCTGAGAATCCTTAGTTTCTAGTCAAGGTACTTCTCCTTATCCTTCCCTTGATCAGGAGGTCACTACAGATTACTTTTGCCTTCAACCAATAAAAAAAAAGTGAAAGGCCCATGAAGAGTAATTCTTTCTAGTGAAGCGAATGCAGACAGACTCATTCTTATCGGTTAATGTGATGAAATTGTGTATGGTCCAACCAAAAAATATTCACAATTCAACTAAATAAATTCTACCCAATCCAAACAATTTAGCCCAACTAATAATTAGTTAAAACCTATAATGCGTTTCGGATACGTCGACGCGCGATGTTTTAAAAAGGTACAGACACGACACATCATCGACACGATGATTAAATTCTTAAAACCTCTTCATTTATATAGTATAAATATAGTTTTATACTTGTTATTAATTTTTCTTATTGAAATATTTTAAACATGAGTACCTATTTGTTACTTGCTAATAACTTTGAATTAACAATATATAATTTTTCTAATATAAAAAGAAAAATGATTACGGTAGAGTGTCAGAGAAGTGTCGGACACGGACACGCTACTCTAATTGAAGTATCCGTGCTACAGATGTTAAAACAATAGCCCAAACATGACTACCCAATACCATTCAATTAAACAATAGCCCAACAATACCATAGCCCAAACCTCAGGAAAAAGGAGAACATGTAACCTGAGAACCCAAAACTGAGATGCAGAATCACCGACCTAAGATTGAAAAATCCTGCAATGCCACATAGATTTCGGAAACAACCTACTATAACCAAGAACTAAACGGCCGAACTGTGACAAGAACTGAGACCAAACACTACTAGGCGACGCGAGACGGCTTAACTGAACCTATGAACTGAGACTACGAACCGAGACCAAACACCACTAGGCGACGTGAAAGGAGAGGTGCAATGCGAGACGAAGACCAAAATCTGAACGTCGAGGCTACAATTGTTGCGACCAAGATCACAGACCAAGAACTTGAAGCAAGGCATGCCGGGTATTCGAAGAACCCAGATGGCACCTAAGACGCTAGCGCCAATTACTATGAACAGAGAACCAACACCCAAAATCACACGCACAAGTAAGTAAATTAGGAGTCTTGATACCATGACAAGTTTTTGCTCGATAATGTTCTCGTGTGTATTGCCTTAATTTATAAGGTATTACAAAGCTATACATGGAAAGTAATTAGGAATGCAATTCAAGATTCTTACTATGTGATTAGGCTATACAAGGAAAGTCATAAATTAAATTGCTGAAAATAAGCCTCTAATACGGTCCTTGTTACAATGCATGAGGTTGGTTGGGACTTGTAATTGCTAATTATACTTTTTTCAAGCATTTGGTAATCTAAAGCTATATCTATGGCCACGTTTATTTTATCTATTGCATTTTTAATTTTTTTAGAATTGTTTCATTCTTAATTTACTCCCATGATTTATACTTCCTATAAACATATATTCCACGTTCTGTTATGTGTTTGATTGTTTAATCTCTGAAAACTTCACATATTTCATGAAATTTCTTGAATGGTGAGTTGGTGCTTTTTCTGAGTACAGTAGTATGGGATCCTTGTGCCTCTTCCTTCTGAAGCTGTCAGCTCCCCTTTCGGTATATGACTTGGATTTTTCTATATTAGTTAATAATGTAGTGTATAATGGGAAAAGAATTTTAAAATCAAATCTGCAACCAGAATGACTTACAGTATTTTCTTCATGTTTTTTCGAAGCTTGGACCTGTCTCATTCATATATCTTAAAGTTCATTATCAATACCTTTATTCACAGGCTACGCGCTTCCGAAGTTCACTCAACTCACTGTGACATCTTATTATGCTGCTTCAAGTGCTTCACATTACGGTTTATCATTGCTTACTAGGCACATTGAGGAGGCCCATGTCTCCCGAACTCAACATAAAGAACTTAGATGATCAGTTGCAGGTGCACAAGATCTTCTTTATTTGTTTCAGTTGTGTAATGAACTCCACCTGTAACTGGAAGTAACCTGTGAATCTAGCATATCTATGTGTGCCTTTCCCTTTTAAATTTTCACCTTAACGCATCTACTTTAAATAGCCTGAGCATTTTGTACCAACATTGTGACAAGTACTTCAAAACTTCTCAGGTTACTACACGAAAGATACCAAAAAGTTGTTCGATTAAATATGTGGATTGTAATTTTTTCCGAGAATCTGAACTGCTTTAGCATTCACTTGTACATAATATATATTGTTTGCTACAGAATCTCTGCCACCACTTTTTCATCTCACGCCGGATTTAAAAGAGTGACTGATATTACTGCTGAAGAAGTAACCATTTTGAATACCTTTAGTTTCCATGTTGATTTACCATCCACAGGTTGTCAATATTTTAGATTCATTGTTACCAATATTCATTGATTTCTTCTAATTTGGAACCATACAAGACTTTTATGGTAGAAATGATTTTGGAACCCCTGTGGAGAGAGAATAAGCCCCCCCCCCCCCCCCCCCCCCCCCCCCCCCCCCCCCCCCCTNCCCCCCCCCCCCCCCTTTCCTTTTTGTTGATGTCCTTATGTTCAATAGATGCTTCGCATACCTTTGATAGTTTCTTTCTGGTGTTATGCTGCATTCCAAATTGAGACGATGTTTCAATGACGCGGTAATATCTATTTACAGCATATAGAATTATGAATTGAATTGAATGAGAAGTTAGTGTGAGCATAAGAAGACTGCAGCCTTTATTTGTGAAGTCATCTTTTGAAGTGAAGCTCGAAATAAATGCAGGTAGCAGGACGGATGTATGGGGATGACCAAGGTCTAGCAAGCTATATGAATTACTTGTTGCTGAAGAGAAGTGTTGATCTTTTGCCTGTAACAAATTACGGATTGAGTCTAAAACTTATTAATTTATGCTCCACGTATGTTTAATAAATGCACGAGTTCTTAATTTCCAATTTTATACGTTCATACACAGCTTAACATTTAAGTATTCGACTTAATGTGTGTTTGATGGATATTATAGCTTCGTTATGAGGTTTTAGAATGTTATTGAAACCTTTTCTACGTTATAGGTTTCTTTTTTCGGCTGTTTTTGATGGATATTATCGAAAAAATAATGTATTTTATATAATGATATGATGAGAAATATGTGGTTAAAAAGTAATGAAAAATTATTGATATGATGAAAAATATTATTTTATTGAAAAATGTATGGTTGAAAATGAGTTTAAAAAAATGTATTTTGAAAGAATGTGTATCAAATGGGGACTTAGCATTTATGAGGACCACCACAACTTGCAAATGCCTCCAATAAACCCTTACAAGACACCCAACTGGCTATTTAAAACCAGCAACAAGTACTTAGTACTGCTGCCTTGACTAATGAGCAGAGTAGAGACCCACCAAATGACTCTCTTGATTGATAAAAAGCATATTTACACATAAATGCTGTCAAATTATCAATAATTAGATCATCACATTTCCTCCCAGTATTACATTTCCACCCTGCTCTTCTGCAATTGTGCAACTGCATTTGCTTTCACATTCTACAACTTTTGCTGCCCAACATCCGGGGATAAAAGTTTCTACTAATTATTTTTTCCATGGAGAAAATGGATATTGAGAGACACTTGGAATATTTCGCTCAGCTTCGACCTGCACCACCAGTTAAACAAAAGGCCATCCGACTGTTTGGTAAAGAATTTGGAGGTAACTCCTTAGTTGAGGCTCAATCAGAATCCGATGAAACTAATGCTGCAATCGAAGAGGCAAATGGAGAGATGGGCAGCAGAAAATTCGAATGCCAGTATTGTCACAGAAACTTCCCTACTTCTCAGGCCCTTGGAGGCCACCAGAATGCACACAAGAGAGAGCGCCAACGTGCTAAGCATGCTTACCTTCAGTCTGCATTAACTGTGCATGTTGGCCTCTCTGATCAGACACCCATCTTTGACCGGACCAATTATCACCAGGGTTCAGCCTCGACCCCTGTTATGGCTTACACTGGGTTATACAGAGGCCAAACCTCTTATTCCCCACTACTACCTAATGAGAGTCCCTTGGCCTTGCCGCGAATCCCTTCACATGCTTACAGTTCCCCTACTTCTATCAGCAGGGAGCAATCAACGCATCAGCGACCGTTGTTTTCTAACCTTAACTCGAGGCTATCATCAACCAGTGACTCTATTTCTCAAAGTGGGTTTGGGAACGTGACAAAACCAAGCTTGAAAGATCACGTGTGTTTGGATTTACATCTTTGATGATGTCAACAATATTCCTTCAAGAACAATGTATTATGTTTTTTTTCGGAAGAGGCTGTTATTTATTCCATGATGAGAAAATTCTAAGAATAATCATGCATGCGCACTGATCCCTCAATTCCACGACTCAACATATGCACACAGAATAGCAGAATCTCTTCAAATTCATGGCTGATTGCATGCACAAGGATCTCTTTAATTATTTCCAATTTATCCTTCATTTCCTTTATTTGCTCGTAATTCCTTTTAGTTTCTTTTCACTTCTTGTTTCTAATGTTGTACCAGAACTTGACCATTTATGTTGAGAATGCATTGAACTGACATTTAATCTGAACATGAAATGAAATGCATATTGTTCCACATGTCTAAATGCATTATTACCATACACGGACATTTGTGTGAAGATCAATTATTTTGCAGCTGCATGAATGCTAGATACGAGCAGAATATAGAAAGACGAGAGAAGACAAAAATAAAACTGGAATATTGATTCTTAGAGAAATGAAATAGGACATGTACGAATAATTTTATGAAGTTGTGCACAAACTTAACTTATATTAATTTCCATAGTACACTAGTAGTTGAGTTGAGATCTATTGTCCAAATTTTATTGTCCAACTTGCTCTCCACCCAATTAATTATTGTCACGTCATTTTTAAATTAACAACTTATCAATTTGGTGGATTAATGGTAAAGTTAATGAGAGTGAATTTGAAATGACACGTTAATTTAAAAATAATGTGTCAATAATTAATTAATGGACAACAAAAATTGAACAGCAGATCTCAACTCCTAGTAGTTGTAGTGAAACAGCTTGTCAATCTTATCCCTTGTTTGAGCTCCATTATTTAAAAAAAAAAAAATTGATTTTAAAAAGGAGAGAGAAAAATGAATTAAAATTTAATGGTGGCTTAATGTGAAACGTTCTTCACATTTTTTTGTACCTTTTCATATCATTAATGAACTGTTCGTATATATATTTTGTACGCACCGTTGAAATTTATATGATGTGAAGCAAGTAATAATGGATTTGTGGTGGAACTTCTTGGTGCAAATGGAGCCACATAGAGCAAAGCTGGATGGCTTCAATTCAATCCACTTAATTGTTGAAAAAGCCAACTGATACAATTAATAACCTTTCTATACATTGAGCAAAGATGTCAGTAGGCATTCACACTACGTAACCTTGTGTTTTCTATTGATTTAGGAATTACTTTGTTTTAGTTAAAAAAAAGTTTTTATAGGACGTGTCTATTATAATGAACATGCACTTCTCTTAATTTCAAAATATGAAAAAAAAAAAATTCATAACTACAAAATGTTTAAGAATATAATTTCATAATTAACAAACTTGCAAAAACCTTAAAAAATCAGGTGGTCATACTGTGACCTCTCACAAATGTTTTGACCTATAAATTAAAACTAAACAGGTCTCGGCCACATACGACATAATTTATGTGGCACATTCATATATTAAGTCACAAATCACAAAATATCACAATCACATATTGACGTGAGATGGAAAGATGAACCATAATGATTGGTTCTTGTTCATAACACACGAACAAGTGTTTGTTCGAATTTGCTCGAACTGACATTATAACTATTTGGAATCCACCAATTAATGGGAACACTGAAAATATTACTGATCAAAAAACGAATGTTTTTTTTTACAACCTTAATGCCCATTTATAGACTCAAAAGAAAAAGAAAATCCCAATCCAAACGAAACCTTAATTCTGTAAACAAATCCAAAAGGCAAATCAAATCCAATTAAAACTAACGAATTGCTAAAATGATGAAAATAGCTTTAAACTAACTAAAAAAGGGAAAAATAAAAAATGGACCCCTAAACGCAAAATTATGTAGAATTGAAAAACACTTTTGAATTGTACTTATTGATGAAAATCCGACACCCGAGCTGAAAGTTATGCGCGTTTTCGTACGTCCTTATTCCTACAGATTTCTGATAGGTTTAGAATTTCCTCTTCTAATTGATGTGCATCACATACCACACAATATATGGGTCGCAATTACATATTAACTCACAATTCAACCAATTAATAGCTCGTAAATTATTTATTAATCAAAAATTACACAATTAACTAGTAATAGTCACATACCATATAATTTATTGGCCATAATCGCATATTAAGTCACAAATCAAACAATTAATTGGGAACAAATCATTAATCATTTAAGTCACAGATCACATAACTAATTGATCACGGTCACTACTAGCGAGATTCTTCTCATCCCACCCCTTTGTCACATCAACCTCACATTCTCCTAGTCTGTCTCTGCACATTCATTGAAAAATTATCTAAGTCTATCCACACATTTCTTCGGCCGACGCACCCTCATCTCCGCCAATCCCTCCTACAATACCATCGTAATTGCCCTCTCTTGCACATTCCCCTCCATCGTCACTCCTTTCCACTCACCTCCACCACACCTCCATCATCATTCCTTCACAAAATTTTGTACTTAAATCAATTTCCTAGAGGTAAAGAGACTGATGGAGGAAAATTTAAGCAAATGTTTGCTTATCTTTCGTCTCTTATCTAAACCTATGGCACAGATGATCTAAACTTTTGCCTTCTTGACACAAATGGTCATTTCGAAAGGATCTAGTGCTAATAAATTACATATGTAATTCCAACTTTTGACAAAAGTAACAAATCTAGTCCTTAATTTTGATTAATGTAATTGACAATGATCCAACCAAAGTAAATCATCTAGATTTAACAAAATAAACTAAAAAAAAAAAAAAAGATAAAAAACTTAAAATTTTTTTATGTGGATTGTCTTAGATTAATATGATAAAATTGGGCAAAAGTCTTAAGTTAAAGGTTGATTTGATTAGATAGGTGTTTAATGAGGGGCATTGCATTAATCATGGTAGAAAAATCTACAAAATACATATCTTCGTAGCCTTTATGACACGAGTTATTAAACCTGCTAGGGTATTTACAATCTGGTGCCCTAAAATCATCTAATTTGGGAGTCATTGGTCAAAAGCTCTTCATATGGGTAATATAGAAAACTTAAAGGAGATATTGCAAAACAAATGTGCAGGAAACAGAAGACACACCAAATTCCCCAGTTAAGCCCCAAACACTTATTTGAGAAGACTTGACTTTTGATGATAGATTATTAACCTAGTTTAGTCCTAGATGTCGAAGCGGTCAAAGAATTGGAGAATTCTTGTTTGTTGATGTGTTAACTTGCAATTAGTAAAGTCCACCTGAACTAGAGAGGGAGATGATAGTAATAAAAAATTCAACCTTATATTACATATTAGAAAAGAGTGAAAAAAATACAAGTTTGAAGGTATGTGAATCTATATTAGGTGACATGATATATTTGACCACAGAGGGTTGGGAATTGAAAAAACTTGTAAATTTATGATTGTCTACTTAATTCTTCACACACACACACACACGTAAAGATGTTTGGTATTGTGACTTTGAAATAGTTTGTAAATTTAGTACTGTTATTACAAATAATAAGATAAAAGTCTAGATTGTCTAATCAAATATTTTTGCATGCTTGTGTGTTTGTTGTTATTTAGGTTACAGTTTTGTTTGTGGACAAACAAATGTTCAACTTTGGGGGTATTTGATAAGTTTATATTATATACACTTATTCGGGGCCTAAAATATCGATATTTGATAATTTTTCTAACAAAATATATCCTAAATTTTTATATTTTATGTTATATAAGTAAAACTCAATGGTTGAACGAAATTTTTTTTTTAAAAAAGCGAAAATTGGTGAAAATTGCAAAATTCAAAGTTTGAGAACCAAACTGCAATTATTCAATAGTTGATTCGAACCACAAGATGATACTTCGAAGATTGTTAGGAGACAATTGGATGGAATTAGAACTCAAAAACGAATGAAATATGATCAAAATATTATCAAAATCAATTTACAATCGCACAAGTTATATTCCAAATTTTTAGTCGAAGATTGAGATCCATTTTTGGCATAGTAAACGTCCATATTGGAAAAATTCTACTATAGCTCTTTGAATTATCTTTCCAATGCAATTTGAATCATATCAATCGGATATCGGAAGAGAAAGTTATGGCCAAAATACTGACTATTGTGCAAAGACAAAAATCTGCGAGCTAATGCAACTTTCCTTATTCAATTGGAACTCTTTTGAAAGCCAATTTGAACGTGATTTTCAAGCAATTTTCTACTCCTACAAATACTTAACAGCAGAACACATATGGGGGACCTCTCATATACATCTCATATTTCAATATTCATCAATTATTATCATCAAATGAGGGAAATTCATAATTTTTGTGAGAGAATTGAAGGAGACTTACAAGAATTCAATCAAGTAAAGATTCAAACTTAATTTTTTGGGCAAAGAAGAGAAGACGTAAGTGGAGATTCATTTAAAAATCATTGAAGAGATTCAAGATTTTAAGATTTCATCTTTATCTTCTCAATTGATCAAAAATTTGGGTTATATCTTTTCACTCAAATATGATTTCTTGTAATTTCGATATGTTATGCTAGTTTTATACATTGTTAGAATGAGATGAACCATTGTTATGATACTTTAGTTTTTAATTAATTATTTTATCTTTAATTTGATTTAATTTGTGGATATTTATTATCATTTTTATGGTTCTTTTCAATTACTTAATCACCAATGAATTGTTAGTGGATTTTATTGTTATCGAGAGAGAAAATAGGGTTTAAGCACAATATAATAAACATTGTAAGATTCGATAGATGATAGNATAAACATTATAAGATTCGATAGAGGATAGAGATATACATCTATACTTTATATGGTTTCAATAGGTGTTCTAGCACTTGTTAATGCATTTATCATGTTTGTATCTTTCATCGAGAGATAGAAGGGTCACATGAGGGGAATATATTTGATCGCTATCGAGATAGACTTTCAATTAAATTAGGAACATTGACTAACATGAATGATTTCAAATTGTCACTTTAATTGTTACACTAAA